CATCCCTTAAAATGTTGTTAAAAACCATCATAACTGTTTGACAAAAACAGGGGTTTTTTTTGAAAGCTCCCAGCCCTGTTTGTGACCACCATAACCAGCCTCACTGGGGTCATGACACTGGAAATGGCTATGTTGGAAATGCTGAGGTTGCAGCTCCAGGTGTGACACTGGAGCCCTGTCTATGCAGGGAAGTTCTCCAGTTCATATATTGATATGATATGATAATGTGCATACTGGTGTCCAGTAACACCTATAATGCATCTGTGCTCTTTCGCATGGCTGCCTGGGCTGTGGAAGAGTAGCTTTGTTTAATATTCAACCTTAATCTTTCCCTGAGCATCCTAAGCCTTTCAACCATTTTCAACCCTTAAAGCTTCCCCAATAAGCATGAAGAGTCCTGTATAGCACCAAAGTCTGCCTTGCTTTTCATTGTTGCTTTTAGGAATGTCTTAAAAGTAGCATTAAAACCACAGGCTGAAAGATCACTGATTTTAACGTAACTGGAAGAGTCACTCCTTTTTGTGCCTGCACAGCTGGTTTAACTGTTCGATTCATGTTAGAGTTTATCTGGAGAAGGGAGAGAAAGAAGAGGAAGAAAACTGCCATGTAGACAAAATTGGGTTGCTGAGATATTTTTGGGGAATAACTACTTTGAACAAAAACTGCTATTATCCTATGGTGAGGTGGTGATGGTAACACTTTCCCACCATGTCAGGCCGCTTAATGAGTAGCAGTGCAGTGATTTATTTTTAAACATTAAATATTATTTAGCAGTTAAGAAGCGACTTTTTTCCTCCCTAAAAGCACCATGCAGCCTCAGGCCACTATTGAACTAGCTTGTGCTGAGAAGGATGTTCTGAATGGGCAAGGAAGAGTGAAAATACCACCCAGACTAGACACACGTGACCACCTGACATTGAAGGAGAAGCCAAGTGGTGTCTACAGAGTCTGTGATGGATGGACATGGAGACTAAACCCAGGTTTTCTGAAGCTTGTCCTGGTGAGTCCATGATCAAACCCATCCCTTGCTAAGATTACCTCAGATTTTTCCTCAGGAACTGTAATCTTAATTATGGCTGTTGTATGTATATGTTTTGCTTAGTGTGTCCAGTTTTTGAAGAAAGGGAGGGAACCTGTGTCCAGATGATGCTTTTTTCTATAATTTCTGACTCATTCTAGATTTCCTATAAACATTTTCTCTTGTGATACTGGGTGACAAAGAACAGGGATCCCTGTATTTAGTTTGAGTCTGCTTCCTAGTTGAACGCTGAGAGAGGAAGTGTGAAGAAGTGGATTTGAGACATGGGAAAGGAAAATTATTTTGCCCCATGGCCTTAGAAGTAGAGATGTTTTGATGCTGTCTTTTTTCTCACTGTTCACTTTACCTTCCCTTTACAAAACACCAAAGAACATCCTCAGTCTATCCAGTGACTTCATCTTGACTAAACAGTGCTGCCCCTGAGGAATAAACATGCATGTCTTGGTACTGATATTCATCATAAAATAAACCTGGGTGTCTTTTATAAGGCAGTAAATTCACTTTAGGAGCTTCTGCAGTTGTCATTAAATGTTAGCTTTACAGGAGCTCAGACAGCTCTGGCAGCTGGAAGAGAAGGATGCTGTGAACTGGGGTAGGAGGGAGAAATCCAGGAGGAGTAAACATGCAGGAAACATTTGAATTACTTCAGTCAAGCCAAGTTTCCCAGCTGTGGTGGGATGGCTAGGTTATCCTGGAGGAAATCTGTAGGTGCTCAGATACAGCTGGGGTCTTTTGTTTTCCCTCCTGTCTCTCTGCATGTCTCCCCTTTCTCCACCAATGATGGCAATGGCAGAATGCAAGAGCTGTCCTGCTTACAGCTTGGGAGGGGAGTGCTGGGCTCCCAGTCTGGCTTTCTCCCTTTCCTGCTTCCTACAGCCAGGCCCCAAACTTGCTGCAGCTTTCTTCATGCTATCCGGGAAGGATGAAAGTTAGGAAAATTACTCCCCCTGATCCTTGTATTGTAGGAGAAACGGAGGAAATACTAGACTGTGACTTTACCAGAATTATACAAGAAATTTTAAATGAAATGGGATATTGGCTCCGTTTTTGGAGTCCTGCTTGGGCACTGTGAGCATATGATGGTATGGAAAGGAATCCCTCTTTCTTCCATTAAGAGGAAGGATAGAATCATGCTTTTGCTATTCTGGTAAGTTGTGGTTTTGGTATTTTTTTTGTTTAGTTTAGTTTTTTTTTTAAATTGTTTTTTACTTTCTTACAGAAATCTATATATCAGACATTTCAGGAATGCCACGGTTTTGCCTCCCCTGGTTATGCTGGAGGAATTCTTGCAGGGCTGGAAAACAGGTGGAAGGCAGCTTTCTCAGCACATGGGTGAGACTTCTTGTCAGAGTTGCCCAACTTTAATTTCTTCCAAATTCCCCTACAACACAGTAACTTAGTTTAAGATGGCATCTTCTGGGATAGAGGAATATGGCATTCCTGGCTGCTACTAGATTTGCCATTGCTTTAGATCATGATTAATGGCTTTTTTAGCTGAGGTGTTATGGTCAAAGCCCCAAAGATGCATACTGGCAAGGCTCTCTGCCCTAGTTGCCTGCCTCCGTGGCCTGGTCTCTCTCCTCATTTTGTTTTAGCTTTGAGACTATCACCCAAATCTGCTAATTGTGGTAGACCTAGTCAAGAAGGAAAGGGGGTACCAGGCAAGAATATTCCACTCTGAAAATGAACTTTTATACCAAATCTGTGCTATGGCAAAGAACGAATTTTAATGTGGTATGAAACTTGGCAGTTTACACTTGTGAATAGCCATCCACTGCACAAGGTTGGTGTGTGGCTCTGATCAGTCACTGGTGGAATCTACCTGGTCTTAATATCTCTTCTTATGGTGGGTACCTCCCTTAGAAAAAAATCTGCTGTTTTGAAATCTCTCAGTCCAAATCCCTTTGTCAGTCAGTGTTGGTTTAATTTCTTTTAGCCTCTTGTATAAAGTACTGCTTCCTTCTCGGGTGTGGCCACTCACATGCTGTTATTTCTCCTTGTTGGTATAAAATGCTGCCAATCCTAAATTGCCCATGCAGTTTGACAGGGTCAGATCGGGAGAGAAACAAGCAACACTTGGAGGGAGCAGGGATAGCAGCAGCCGTATCACATCCTAGTATGGGATCTCGGGCCCCAAGATACCAAATGCTGGGAGCAGCCAGCAGCCAAAAGAGAAGTTGCTGCTCCCCTCGAGCAGCCTCATGGGCAGGCTCACCCACCCCACCTGCCTGGTCCTGTTAGGGTGAGGGGGAGGACAGGGCAGGGAACCCAATTGATTTTAACTATGCCCAGTTGCTGTGATGCCAGACTACTGGGTAATTTCCACCATGCAGGAGGTAGGACCAATCAAAAGTAAAGTCCAATCACTGTCTTCAACAAAGAAATCTTTCTTCCAGTTATTTGTCTGGTGTTGGGCACTTTTTTTTTTAACAGATCCAAAACAAAACGCTTATTCATTTGGTGCTCATGCAAAGTTTTGCCATTAATGATTTACAGCAGCCCAGATTTGGAATCCAGTTTATTACAGACCTTCTATCGAGAAAGACCAACTTCTGGTTTTCCTGTCTTCAAGAAAGTTGAGATTTTTTTAGGTTTTAAGTGCCACCTAAAATGAGCCCCTCTTTAAAATACATGTTTTTTATACATTAAAGCAGTAGCAAGACAGAGAAGAAAAATTTATTTTCCTTTGCAAGTCAACTTTAAGGTCAGCACTATAAGCTTTTTGTAACTCCTTTAAATTTTAAACTGCTTTCTTAGCTAAGTTGAATACTTTAAAAACAAATGAAACCACTACACCTTTCCCCTTCTGATGAAAGGAAGTCTGAGGGAAAGTCTGCAATGGAGTAACCAACAGGACCTAAACCAAATTCCTGAATATTTGATCCTGGTATTTGAGATGGGTAGGGATCCACGGGAGACCAAGAAGAAATCTCAGCTGCTGCTGTAGCAGATAAATTAGTACATGGCAACTGGGAAACCTGGAATTTACTAATCTCTGAAATGAAACAAAACTATTAAACTTAACATCCACTAGTTAAGTACTTGCTTGTGATTTACAGCTCCTGCTCTGAGACTTGCAGAAATAGTTTAGGGGGATGCCAGGCAGAAACACCCTTGTTGTCTCCATCTCTGTAAAAGGCCACCTAGCAACTTTTTTTCCTATTGTAGAATTGGTGTCAGCACAAGGGAAAATGGAGACTCAAAAGATCAAATTCTTGACTTACGCTATTTCTTTTTGTCCCTGCTAGGGAGGTGGGGGCAATATCAGACGTGGAGGATGTTTTATGGGTGCTGCTCAGCTCTCTGCAGCCCGGACCCAGCGCTGCAAAGGCCTCACGTCACGGGGCAGAGTTTCTTCGTGGTAAGGTGTTTATATGAGCAGGTGGCGCGTTTAACAGGGTGGGAAAGGCAACAAAAGATTGTTGTTGAATGGGCCTTTCTTTGAAAAGTAATGTTTTGTGGAAGAGCGGCTTTATAAAACGTTTGTTTTGGTGGGAGGAGGAACGTAGAGGCGAAACCTCCATCTGGGAAGAAAACACCCACCCTTTTTCCTGGAGACAGAAAAGGGGGGGTGCGTCCCCACGCTTAACTTCTACATCCACCCAAGAAAGGTTGCTTTTCGAGCACGCAGCGAGCCATCTTCTCTGGCCTCACTGGCTGGTTTGGGAGCACAACTCCAGAAGGAACGAGGGGGGGGGGGGGGGAAAAAAAAAAAAAAAGACGAAAACCCCTGAAATCCCACCTCCCCGGCCAGGTGTACCCACGCGTGGGGTACGCTCCGGCGGGTCGGTGCGCCCTCGGCTCCTCCCCGGGCGGCGGCGGAGGATCCCAGCCCCCTCCCTGGCGGCGGCGTGAGGAGGAGGAGGAGGAGGAGGAGGGTCGGCTGCGGCACCTCCCCCCTTCCCCGCCTCCCTCCCCGCCGCGCGCAGCGCCCCGGGCATGGAG